CTCTCTCTCTCTCTCTCTCTCTCTCTCTCTCTCTCTTTCTCTCTCTCTCTCTCTCTCTGTCTCTCTTTCTCTCTCTGTCTGTCTCTCTTTCTCTCTCTTTCTCTGTCTCCCTCCCTCTGCTACTGCTATTACTCCTCCTCATCGTCGTCCTCTTCTTCTACTTCTTCCTCCTCCTCCTCCCTCCTCCTCCTCCTTCTTCTTCTTCTTTTTCTTCTTCTCCCCCCTCTTCCTCCTCCTCCTCCCCACCCAACCTCTCCTTTTCTCATCCAGCCCACCTCCTCCTCCTCCTCCTCCTCCTCCTCCTCCTCCTCCTTCTCCTCTTCTTCCTCCTCCTCCATTTCCTCCTCCTACTTCTCCTCTTCCTCCTCCTTCCTCCTTCTCCTCTTCCTCCATTTCCTTCTCCCCCCATCTCTTCCTCCTCTTCCTCTTCCTCTTCCTCCTCCTCCTCCTTCCTCCTCCTCCTCCTCCTCCTCCTCCTCCTCCTCCTCCTCCTCCTCCATTTGCTTCTCCCCCATCTCTTCCTTCCTCTTCCTCCTCCTTCATCTTCTTCCTCTGTTTCCTCCTTTACCCTCGCTTTCTAACACCATTCTCCCCTCTTCCAACCTTCTGTAAAAATTGACTATTAAAAATTGGGTTGAATGCTCCGTCCGTTGACCTAAGGGGGGGGGGAGAAGAGGGAGGATAAGAAGATTATGGTGATGTTATTGTTTCTTTTCTATATTATCATTAATTTCTCTCTCTCTCTCTCTCTCTCTCTCTCTCTCTCTCTCTCTCTCTCTCTCTCTCTCTCTCTCTCTCTCTCTCTCTCTCTCTCTCTCTCTCTCTCTCTCTCTCTTCATCATTTTTATCATCATCTTTTTTATCGTCATCATCATCACCATTTTTATTAACACCATTATTATTGTTATTAGTTATGTTATTATTAGTAGTAGTATATTACCATATTTCTCAAAAGAAAAGAAACTTTTACCAAAGAAGAATTTCTTTTCGCTTTCCTCCCTTCTCCTCGATTATTTTTGTTCTCTCGTCCCCTCGTCCGTCTCCTATTTCACTCATTTTTTTTCCATTTTCTCCGTGTCTCCCCTCTCATTATCATCATTATCCACCTACGTTCTTTTTTTTCCTATCTCGCTCTCTTTTCATAATTGACCTTCTATTTTCCGCTCACCTATCAATTATTCCCCACTCGCTCGGGATTCAATGAAGAGTTAAAAAGGAATGAAAAGAAAAGTTGAAAAATTATTGCCCGATGCTATTTTCACTTCCCGGAAGAGAAGCTAATTTCTGTAGCCAGTTAATCCATATTCCTTTCCATTATGTTGAGTTAAGTTCGATTGGTTGATTGAGATGATAAGATCTGACATAATGTGCAGTGGGCTGTAAATTACGATTTGCATAGGTCTCATGTCTAAAATCTTAATGTCCGATTGGTAAATTCCTGTCAAGTAGATCGCATTCATCGGGGGAGGTAATGCGCTCAGGAGAACAGCGGGAGGTAGTGTCAGATTATCTCAACGTCAGCAGCCGGGACTTGTTATTTACTGCTTGCAAAATTATATATAGCATGCAAGCGTCGATTTGCTGTATTGTTAGTAGCAGAAAGATCTAGAAAAAGCCTGTGGTATTTTTTCGTTAGCTGTTGATGACTCGTCAGTGTGGCTGTGCATTTGAGCGTTTTCCTCCCTCTGCATGCCGTGTTTTTGTGATATTTTATAATTTTATCTCATTATTATGACATGTGTTTATCTTGTGTAAGCACTAGTCCAATGTCTATTTTTTTCTACGTTGGCCTCATTGCATCAGAAAACAACGGAATAATGAGAAAGATTTTATTCTAAAATATGATGTCTTTGCCTTCGACCATAATCTGATGCACGTTTAACATTATCAACATGACTTCTGAAGCCATAATGATTTAAAATAATTTTGTGTTCCTGATCTTTAACACCGTTGCATATAAACCAATCTTCGCTATGGAAGAGGGGCGTGGCTTTTAGGCAGATATGAGGGGGAGGGGGTAATGGAATTTTGAACTGCTAGAAATTGTCTAACTTTTTAAAAAATAGCTCGAGAGTAATTCTTTCTTTCCCTTATATTTTCTTCCCTTTTCTTCCTTTCTTTTATTTATCCCCCACTTTTCCCTTTACCATTCTCCCCCTTCTTCTCTTTTCCTTTCTTTACATTTCTTTCCATTGCAGTTTACTATCTTGTTTCTACCTTATTCCTCCCCATCATTTTTTTTTCTTCCTTTATCCCCATTTTCCTCCTTTACTCTTAACTTTTTTCTTCCTTTTTTCCCTACTTCCTCTTCCCTATTTCCCTCGTTCCGTCTCTTCTTCCTTTCTTTTCTTGCTTCCCCCTCTTCATCCCCCTTCCCCCTCTCTCCCCTTTGTATGTTTTCCTTCCTTCCTTCCTTCCTTCCTTAACTCCTTCTTTCCTCCCTTCAGCTCTCCCTCCCTTCCTTCCTTCCCCTTCCTTCCTTCCTTCACTCTCTTTCCCT